CGGTACGCGGGTCTCTCACTGCTGTGGCCTCTCCCGTTGCGGAGCACAGGCCCCGGATGCGCAGGCTCAGCGGCCATGGCTCACGGGCCCAGCCGCTCCGCGGCCTGTGGGATCTTCCCGGACCAGGGCACGAACCCGCATCCCCTGCATCGGCAGGCGGACTCTCAGCCACTGCACCACCAGGGAAGCCCTGACTCGTTTTTTAGAAGTAGTATCAGTGCTTAGTAAGAGTATGATTCCAGAATAAAATTGCTTATTAGTACCCAACACAAACTGGACAGACTTCAGAGTTGGGGTTTCTTTTTCCCCCAGACTCAATTACTTAGAAAGGTGGAGTTTAAGCGTTGTAGTTTAATTAACAGGACCGTATAATGGGTCTGATTATTTCTTTTATGAAATCCTTTGAAGTAGATACTTTCATACTTAGAAATTTCTTACTAATTATTGTCCCTGTATAAAACTTTCTGGATCTGAGGTTATTTACACCTTTTCTTTGCTCTACCAGTTTTGCAGTAATTCTAATCAAAAGCATTGAAATACGATTATGCTTTGTAAATACACTTTTGCAATGTGAAAAACATTCCCTTAATGTATTAGTTCTGTAAATCTAAATTTTAGGTGGTAATTTTACACCAGTGAAGGACACCTGCATGCTAGGTAAAATATAGACATACATATTCTAAAATCTGTCGAAGAAATTAGTAAAAATACTTCGTTTTTATTTCAGTTATGGATATTGAAATCTTTCCTCTAAGTATTGTGTCACATGCGTATCAGTGCTGTTTTGAAAGCAGAATGTTGAGTAACATTTAAAATTACATTGTTGTCTTCGTAGTTCCAGCTCAACCAAGATAAAATGAACTTTTCCACACTGAGAAACATCCAGGGTCTATTTGCTCCATTAAAACTACAAATGGAATTCAAGGCAGTGCAGCAGGTGGGTTTATGAATGTCAGTTTGTATGCATTCCACCTGTGTGTTAATATCAATTGGAAGGAGCCTTCTATTTTAATAACAGCTATACAAACCTTATCTTCTCTTCTCCCCTACAACCTATCCTTTTCAAAGAAAAGAAGCTTTGAAATGGAAAACTCCTTTAAATTATAGGCTCAGTGTCTGAAAACTTAACCTGTGTTCACTTTCACGTTTTTCTCCTTTGGGGGGTTACACTGAATCTGAGATGCCTCTAGGAATATCCACGTGGAGGTATCTAATAGGTTGAATATTGCTGAGTATACCTGTTGCTTAGGAAGAATATCTTCGGAAATGTCCTTCCAAGTGTGTAAGAACTGTCCCCCCATCTGTGCTCTGGATTCTGTCACATCACACTACATTGATTTCAGTGATTGCTGGACAACTAACAAAGAACAGAAAAACTGAAAATTTGGTTTGGCTACATTAAAGTTTGTTGGGTACAAAATATGTGCCAGTGACTATATATGTATACTTTACACTGCACCATGCTACAGGTTTGAGAGGAAGGTGCTATTATCCTAGTTCACAGATACGGAAACAGGGTGAGACAAGTCAGGTAACTTAGGCAAAGCCTAAGTAAGTAATAAAAGCAGAATTTGAATCCAGATCTCTCTGACTGTACAGCCCATGCTTTCTCCACTGTACTTAGATACTAGTCTGCAGTATATATATCTAATAATTGAATAAAGTATATAACACTAGTTCACAATGGCATTGTGGTTTTTAAAGGCCCACAGGTGACTTTGATCTTCATTTCTAGTTACCACTACTGTTCTTTGTTTTTTGGTTTTTGTTTTAAACTTTTATTCTCTAACTAGTGAGTTAGTATTTTTCACTATATGTTTTACTGGCCCTCTTAGTTTCTTATGTGACTTATCTGTTCACACACTTCCAGGAAAGGTAATTCTTTTTTTAAAATTTTATTTATTTATTTATGGCTGTGTTGGGTCTTCGTCTCTGCGCGAGGGCCCTCTCTAGCTGCGGCAAGCGGGGGCCACTCTTCATCGCGGTGCGCGGGCCTGTCACTATCACAGCCTCTCCTGCTGTGGAGCACAGGCTCCAGACGCGCAGGCTCAGTAAGCGTGGCTCACGGGCCTAGTTGCTCCGCGGCACGCGGGATCCTCCCAGACCAGGGCTCGAACCCACGTCCCCTGCATTGGCAGGCAGACTCTCAACCACTGCGCCACCAGGGAAGCCCCTGTTCTTTGTTTTTTTTTTAAATTAATTATTAGTTTATTTTTTGCTGCGTTGGTCTTCGTTGCTGCATGGGCTTTCTCTAGTTGTGGCGAGTGGGGGCTACTCTTCGTTGCGGTGCATGGGCTTCTCATTGCGGTGGCTTCTCTTGTTGTGGAACACGGGCTCTAGGCATGCTGGCTTCAGCAGTTGTGGCACACAGGCTCAGTAGTTGTGGCTTGTGGGCTCTAGAGCGCGGGCTCAGTAGTTGTGGTACACGGGCTCAGTTGTTCGGTGGTATGTGGGATCTTCCCAGACCAGGGATCAAACCCGTGCCCCTGGCATTGGCAGGCAGATTCTTAACCACTGTGCCACCAGGGAAGTCCCTATCGGTACTGTTTTAAAGGGTCATAACTTAAACATTTGTGTGAGCAATACAGAAAAACATAAAAAATGAATAATTGGTTTACTAAATAGAATAATGCTCTCGCTGAGTTGGAATTTCTTCAGGAATTTGATCATCCCACGTTTATTAGGAACAAAGAATGGTGTTAGCTCTAGGATTTTGCATTTCATCACATGGTATGTGCTTTGGTTTTCCTGGACAGAAGCAAAGCCCTCGAATATGAGCAATCCTGATGGGATTATTAAGTGTTAGTAAAAAAGCTTTCAGTTTCAGTGTATATATTTTGCGTAAAGTGTTGAGGAATTTTTAAAATTTTGGTTTGGGTCTTAAATGTGAACTTGCATGTTAAATTGATTAACCCACATTGGTTAAATTGATATGTTACTTAGTTTTGTGAATTTTACAAATAAAGAATGAAGAATGTGGAATTTGGTCATGTATATTTTTTCCCCTTGGTTTTTTCTAATTTTGCCTTTTTATGCTTTTCCTGAAGGTTCAGCGTCTTCCATTTCTTCCAAGCTCAAACCTTTCATTGGATATTTTGAGGGGTAATGATGAGACTATTGGATTTGAAGATATTCTTAATGGTAAGTGTCATTCCATACCTTTTTATAGAGCACCAGCAGCAGATGAAACTTACAGTGTCTTCGTCCTCGTGGAGTTTATAGCTGATTGAATTCATTTGTGTTTATTCAGTGAAATAAGATAAAATTTAATGGTAATAACTGTTCTTTAACAGGTTTTAAAAGTGAAAATTATTTATGGAGTTCTGAGATTATAGTCATTTCAGTCAACTAATGATAGTCATTCCTTTCATATCCTGAGGATAAAGTCTGATGTGTGAGTCCAGTACAATATTCTTAGGGTAGCTTAAACAAGGATTGTTGTTGCACTATTCAGAATGTTTGGGGGATATGATTAGTTTTAAAAACAACTAGAAAAAATAAGATCAAAGTTTTCTTTAAAAAATACCCACCCTGTCCTCCTAAGTAATTGTTGTGTTTCTATAGATGGTGAATAGTAAAGAAGAATCTGTCATTTTTAACAAAATTCTCTGGATGATTCTATTATGTATGACATAAATGGCTTTTAAGTAAGAGCAAAACATGCAGCATCCTTTATTTTTTTCTGGTTCTGAGGAAGGTAAACAAATATAATTCTGTCCAGTATTTCTTCTGTTCATTATGCCTCAGCAGTTTAGGAGAAACAGAAAAACCCAACAGGATTAAATTATATTACTTTTGCTTGGCTGCTAATGTCCGGTAACGAGATGCTGTGGATGCAACAGAGAAGTCTCATGAGCCTCCTCTTTGAGAATCTTCCTTGAGGGAACTTTTTGAATGCAGGAAAACCTGGAATTCCTAAGCTTTTACATTGAATTTAGACCTCATTTAAAATTAGTAAGGTGATAGCTCAGGTTTATAATTATCTTTTAGTTATAAAAATGCACTCATTTAAAAATCAGCCTCTGTAAAGTCATGTGAATAAAAGGGAGAGGGACTTACTGAGCATTTATTCAGTCAGTAAAATAATTGTTATACGTTAGACACTGGGCTAGGCTTTGAATATACGACGGTGAAAAAAACAAAACATCTGTGCTTCCTAATGGGGGAGGTAAACATTAACAGTTAAAGCACAAACATGTAGTTACAAACAGTGATTAAATTCTAGGAATAAAAAGGGTAGGTGTATAGTTTGTGGTTGGGTAGGAGGGCCAGGCACCTCTGGGAATATGACATATAAATTGATTCCTGAAAGATACATGAATTAGTTGAGCTAAAAGTAGAGGGAAGAATATTTCAGACAGAAGAAGCTGTATGTCCAGGGTCTCTAACCTGAGAACAGCTGAAGAGCTCTGAAGGGTTTATTCCACTTAAAAGCTAACAAGTTAGCCCTCTGTGGTTTCATGGATGCTGGCAGAGACAGACTCCTCGAGACAAAGGGCAGTTTGTTATTCACAGCAGTAGCAGAAGCCAGAGCATCAGCTTTTCTGTTGGGTCCCTAAGCCCCAGTTCCCACAGGGCAGCAAGAAGAGGGTTAGATGAAACCTGCATACAGAGTGTATTTTGTTACAGTAAGGGGAACCTCAAGTTCAGGGCACCTGAATCTTACAATGGGCAGTCAGCCTGCCTATTCTGTGCCCCAAGGGCAACATGATCTCTCTTTAGAAACAGCCTTGGAAAGAGAGTCCAGAACAAAGGCAGACAGTGCCTCTGCTTCCAGGACTTGGGGAATCAAGAAAGGCTCCTAGAGAATTGTCTTTCAACACACATAAGAACATGTTAAGAAGGCCCATGTAGCTGGAGTGTTTTGAGGGAAGTGGAAAGTAGAATAAGGTGAGGTTGAAAAGCCAGACAGGTACAGAGGAGCCAGAGCCTTGCAGACCATAAAAAGTTTATTCAGAATGCAACAGAAAGCCATTGAGTGATTTTTTTTTCTTTTGACATCTGAAGACTGTAACTTTATTTTATTTTTTTCTTCAGCTCTTTTGTTTTCTTTCAATTTATAATCATTTTTTTAAATTTTATTTTTTTAAACAGCAGGTTCTTATTAGTTATCTATTTTATGCATATTAGTGTATATGTCTCAATCCCAGTCTCCCAATTCATACCACCACCACCACCCCTGGCCCCCTTCCGATGTTCCCCCCTTGGTGTCCATACCCATTGAGTGATTTTACGCCGCGACATGTGATAGAATTTCAGATTTAAAAAGATCACTAGCGGGGGCTTCCCTGGTGGCACAGTGGTTGAGAGTCTGCCTGCTGATGCAGGGGACACGGGTTCGTGCCCCGGTCCGGGAAGATCCCACATGCCGCGGAGCGGCTGGGCCCGTGAGCCATGGCCACTGAGCCTGCACGTCCGGAGGCTGTGCTCCGCAACTGGAGAGGCCACAACAGTGAGAGGCCCACGTACTGCAAAAAAAAAAAAAAAAAAGATCACTAGCTATCTTATGGACATCTTTATATATTCATTCCTTGCATCTCTGTAAGGCAGCTAAGAACTAGAAAGATCCTCTGTTTAGGTAGGTGATTTTTGTCAGGATGAGATCACTGCACTGCACTTTGGGTAGTTTCTCCCTTGTGGGGACTGTGACTGTATAATTTATGGACAGTTTATGGCTTCACCTTAGGCCCTTGCCTTAGCTGTTCCTTCTGCTTAGAACACTTTCCCCCTCACTTTTTAGATCCCATTTTAAATGTCACTCCTTCAGAGACTACCCAGTCTAAAGTAGTCCCAGTCACCCTGTCACCTCATTTTCATTCTTTGCTTATCACTTTCTCAGTATTTTTCTTGTTTCTTATTTGTTTTCCCCAACTTAAATACAGGCCTCATGAGAGCTGGGGACTTTGTCTTGTTAACTCTTGTGTCTCCAGTGCCTCATAAGGTGCTTAATCCATGATGAGTGTTCAAAGCTGTTGCTCACCACAGTCTCCTCATCACATTTGACCCAGAAGGAATTTTAAAGTCTGTAATGAGGGAGTAGTGTGTTAATCTAAGCGTGATGTGAAGACTAGTCAACTGTGATGAAAATCTGTATAATTCTCCAATTTACATTTTTTAAAGTGTTGGAGGTGATCGGGGTTTTGTTTGCTTGCTCATCAGGGAAGTGCTTGGCCAAGAAAAATCTGCACATTATATTTTAAGGAAGGGAAGAGAATGTGAGGAAGGCAGTAAGAAAGTCACAACTAGCCTTTTTTTCTTAATGCTGAAAGCAGCCTTCCGTTCACTCTAGTTCTGTCACTTTAAGATGAGGGAACTGAGACTGACCAAGAGGCCGAGTCTCACGGGCCAGTGCCTTCCTTGCTTACATGGTGTGCTGTCTTCTGGTGCAAGTGATTTATTTAATAAGCACGTATTTTATTAAAGTCAAAAGCTTCAAAAAGCAGAGTTTAAAAGGAAAGTTGTTATTATATAAATAAGGATATTCTTTGTTTAAAAACTGAAAACATTACAGCTGAGACTCAAGTCCTCCATGTTTACCCCAAACCCATTTCTCTCCCTGCTTCCCTATTTGCCTGCTGCTTGCTGCTTTTAGTTAGTGTATGTCCTTCCAGACTTTTTTCTGTGTCTTCATACAAATATATATAATGAGAAAATATCTGGCGTTGCTTTGTGTATATTTTTTTTTTAATCACAATTGGTATCATACTGTGTGTATCTTACGGTAGTAGGTATGCTGCATCAATACATGTATTGAGTTTTCTCTTATTAACACAAAACAGCACTGCAGCAAACATCTTTGTTCTTTGTACTCATGTGCGGACATACTTTTTCTTAATTTGGGTTTTGGATGCCTGTGGTATACATAGCCATTTACTCTATTAATAATTGTAACAGTATCACTTGTTGCTAAGGTTACTTTGTTGTGTGACAGATGTCAAGAGTAGAGGTTGCTGAACTAATTTGACACAGTAATCTCCAGTCTCTTAGGAGATCCAGTGAGGAAACATCCAAATTGATCTGTTACTCTTGGTAATCATTATTTTAATGATTATTTATTTTTACAAACTGATTTTACAGTTTATTTCGTTGGGTATTTATTCTGTTTCTTGTCCTGTGTGGAAGAGAAGAGGCTTTGTTTGTTTGTAGGAAGCTTAATGTTGTTATTCATTTAAAAAACTCCTAGGTACATTATTGCAGTTAAAGTAAGACTTTTGTCTGACTCGTCAATACAGACAAGAGAGTGAAGGTTTTTAAGGTTTTCTTGCTCTAGAATTCTGGTTTGTGTATATATGTATTTGCAACAGAGCACAGAGTGATAGAAATAAAATGGGTTTTGCAAATTAGATTACGGATTGTTTAATCTCTTATTAGAGATCGTTCCTAGAGTCAACTGGAAAGCACTGGAAAACTTAAGAACTTTGAAAAAGAACTTATTCAATCTATATTTTCTTTTACAATCACCTGAATTGAGGTATACTTGACATACAGTAGAATGCACCCATTTTAAGTGTCCAGTTCTTTAATATGTTTGTTTTTGTTTGTTTTCAGACCCGTCACAAAGTGAACTAATGGGAGAACCACATTTGATGGTTGAATATAAGCTCGGTTTATTGTAATGCAGTGTGCTGTTCATGGAAATAGAGGGGCTGCGTCTTGTTTATAGTCGTTTTTTACTATAATTTGACGTGCACAACATTAAAATTACTGCCACGTGAGAATTTTTGCCTAAATAGTATCTGTGACCATTTGAAGTTATTTGGGTCTTTGGTTTATGTGATAATTGAAGGCACTAAAGGGAGATGGTTTAAAAACTTGTAATTTATATTAAAACAATAGCCTTCTATGTCTTTAAAAAATGTTGCTAATTAATATCATAAAACTATGCACAGGTTCCAATTCAGCCTGTTTCCTAGTTATTTCATAAATTTAATTTTGAATAACCATTATTGGTATTTGAGCCTACAAACTTCATAGTAGCATCTTTCAGAATAAACATCTGTTCAGTGGCAGCATTTCAAAGTAAGTACAAAATAAGAGTTATATTTTACCTTGTTTCAGTATAGTCCATTAATACTCATAAGAATAACATTTGCTTTATTGATGCTACTTTAGAATTATAACTACATTCTTTGATTCTTTCAGGTTGAAAAGTATAAGTTCAGAGGTTTTGATTTTGGTCTTGTCTTTAAAGTGAAAAATTAAACAATCAGCAGATGCCAATTAAACGGTAGTACTGCATAGATTAATATATCATAAGATGCTTAAATTTAAAAAAGAAAAAGGAGCATTCATGTACACATACAACTATTCATGAACAAATTCCATAATAGTTTATTTAAAAATAAATCTTCCCTATGGTTGTTCTTTGTTAATAAGGTATTTTTATATGGACCTAGTGTACAAAATTAAAGATTATCAATTTCTCAGGAGTATTTTTATTGTCTAAGTCACTGATTTATGACTGAAGGCAATGTTTTCCCTCCCCACTGGGAGTGGGGGGGGTCATTTAACAATGTCTAGAGAAATTTCTGGTTGTCACAACTTTGGGGAGGGTTTCCAACTGGCATCTAGTGCAAGGAGGCTAGGGATGCTGCTAAACATCCTCCTATAAAAATTGCTCCTGACCTCTGAGATTGAGCTTAAAACTGTCTTTGCCAGCACAATATTTGCCAACCCACTTTACACTTAAATTATGAGAAAATATAGAAATAATGAAGGTTCACTAATTGATTGTTTCTAAATGTGTTCTCTTTCAACTAATTAACAAAGTTGGAGATTTCTGTACCTTAGTTAGTTTTAGGAATAGTAGATACTCTTCCTGACCAGTAGAAGGTACCATGAAATTAATGAACATAGTTTAAATGGAAAAGCTGATGGTTTAAACGCAGAAATTGGTAATCATGATTAGTGCTTATTCTCTGAAGGTCTTCATGCTTCCCCCTCTCTCCTTTTCCTCTTTTACCTCCTTTGTGTTTACACCCATGATCCTTATCCCTGGGTGCGTGTAAAATCACCTGGAAATCTTATGAAAGAATTTTGGTGTCAGGGTCTGAATCTCAGAACTTCCAGAAGGACGAGTCTGGGGTGGATCCCAGGAAGTCTACTTTTGAAAAGCTCTCCAGGGATGAGAACCTTTGATTTATATGCTTGCTTTCACCTTTATAGTAGTAACATTCATTAGCATCAGTTAATTCTTCCCGTGTACCTTGGTGCTGGAAAGTTTGCTAGCAGTCTCTGCAAACTGCAGTGTGTGCCTGGAGTTGGGATGATTTGGGTTCCTTCATACGAGTAAATTTCAGGTTCCTCTGAGATACTTTGCCTAGGTGCCAGACTCTTCAGTTAGGCATTTTTCTTTCAGATGCTGTGGGGTTTGTTTTAAGGAATTAGTTTAGTATTTGGGGGGTTTAAGAGATACTTCACAGGTTGGTGCCTGATTACAATTAATTTTATTAACACTAAAATGATAAAATTCACAATAAAAGAGGTATAAACATAATTAATGGACTGTAATGTATTTCTGTGTTACTTTTATATATATATATATGTGAATAAAGGAATTTGTGGGTTTTATTGTCTCAAAGCGGGTGGGTTTGCAAATAACTGAGCATTGTTTGGCACATCATGGGATGGCTCTTTCACTAGACATGTCTCTTCACTTCTACTCTCTGTACAAAATATAAATGATAGGCTTATTTTTTATTAATTTCTCTTTTTGCAGTGGGTTTTATCCCTCTTTCAGGAGTACACATAAATATAACCCAGTGCTTTCCTGCATTTTGTTACTCCTTTGAATGCAGACATTTCAAGAGTGTAGAAAATTGTCTGAACAGGTAGATTACTTTTGAAAAGCTGCAAGACTGTATAGTGTATAATCTTCCACTGGAGTCTACAATTGGATGAATCTAAGTTTAACCAAATTTTGACTTGATATTTCAATAAAGCAAAACCAAAAATGTGATGCTTCATTGAACTTACTTAGCTCATGATTTCAAAGTTGAAATTCAGGTTCCTTCAAGTACAACAAATCCTTAATTAAGAGCCCATACCTTGGTGGGGACAGTGGCCAAGACAGCAGAGTAGGAAGTCCATGAACTCACTTCCTCCCATGGGCATGCCCAAATGACAGCTGTTTAATAGCACACAGCTGTCTGTGGAAACAACCTGAAGACTAACAGAAAAGATTTTCCACCATTAAAAACATAAAGAAGGGGCTTCCCTGGTGGCGCAGTGGTTGAGTCCGCCTGCCAA